GCAAATCAATAGAAATAAAAGATTTGGTCATTGGAAAACATGGCTTGGTACTAGAAATGACACTGAAGATGACATGAACTTATTCATTGCAAACATCCTATTTCAACAACATAAATGGTGACTATACACATGGACCTCACCAAATAGAAAACATAGGAATCAAACTGAGTACATCTACAGGAAGAGATGTTGAAGAAATTCAGCATCATCAGCCAAAACAAGGCTAGAAGCTGACTGTAGAACAGACAAATTGTTCATATGCAAGTTCAGGTTGAAGCTGACGAAAAATGACAAGTCCACAAGAGCCAAATTACAACCTTGAGTATATCTCACCTGAATTTAGAGACCAGATTTGACACACTTAACACTAATGAGTGAAAACCAAAGGAGTGATGGGATGACATCAAGAACATCATATACAAAGATAGTAAAAGGTCATTAAAAAGACAGGAAAGAAAAGAGAGACAAAAGTGGATGCCAGAAAAAACTATGAAACTTGCTCTCAAAAATAAAATAGCTAAAGCTAATGGAAGAAATATGAAGTAAAACAGCAGAACAGAAAATTTCAAAGGATACGTCAAAAACACAAAGTATTACAATGAAACGTGTAAAGACCTGGATTTAGAAAACCAAAAGGGAAGAACACACACAGTATTTCACAAGCTAAAAGAAATGAAGAAAAAAATCAAGCTTTGACTTGCAATACTGAAGGTCCTGGTGTGGCATTGCACGATAAGTGCTGGACCATAAGGTCAATTTAAACTGCAAGGTCAGCGGTTCAAACTCATCAGTGACTCCTTGGAAACCCTATATGGACTTGATGGCACTTAACAACAACAATGGCTACAATATTGAATGAAACATCAAAGGAAGATGGAAGGAATACACAGAGTCACTGTACCAAAAAGAACTGGTCAATGTTCAATAATTTTAAGATGCATCAAGTGATCAAGAACTGGCTGTATTAAAGGAAGAGGTCCAAGCTGCACTGAAGGTACTAGCAAAAAAAACGAGGCTCCAGGAATTGATAGAATACAAATTAAAATGTTTCAACAAACTGATGCAGCACTGGAGGCACTCACTCATCTGGCCAACCAATTGGAAGATGGAAGAGACCCATATGTGCCCATTCCATAGATAATGTGCCCATTCCATAGAAAGGTGACCCAACAGAATGTGGAAATTATCAAGCAATATCATTAATATTATACATAAGCATAATTTGTTGAAGAAAATTTAAAAAGTTGCAGCAGCAATGAGTAAAGAAGACTGTAGAAGAATTGATGCATTTGAATGAAGGTGATGCCATAACTGAAAGTACCATGGACTTCCAGAACAACAAACAAGTCTGTCTTGGAATAAGTACAGCCAGAATGTTTCCTAGAAGCAAGGCTGACGAGATTTCATCGCATGTATTTTGGACATATCATCAGGAGGGATCAGTCCTTGAAAAAGGACATCATGCTTTGTAAAGTAGAGGGTTAAAGAAAAAGAGGAAGACCCCATGAGATAGACTGACCCAGTGAAATGGGCTCAGACATAATAATAGTGAAGATGGGACAGAACTGGACAGTGTTCGGTTCTGTTGTGCACAGGATCACTGTGAGTCACAGCACCTAACAACCACAAAGATTATTAGTGGATGGGAGAAAGGGGACAGGGGTAGTTTTTGCTTAGTGGACAATAAGTTTATGTTAATATGGAGGAAGAATTTGGTTACACAACTTAAGAATGTAAGCAGTGTCACTGAATTGTACCTGTAGAAACTGTTGAGTTGGTGCATGTCATTTTTTTTTTTTAAAAAAAAAGAATTCATTTTATTTAAATATCAGCTTCAGTCCCAGTGAACCTGGTTCAGACAAGTCAATGAACCTCAAACTAGACTGGGGAGGGGGATTTGGTGATAATCAGGAGTGTCAAATAACCACAATAAGTAGAGGCAGATCCTGTGGAGCTTGCTGAAGGCAAGAACATCAGAAGAGAGGGAAGAAACAAGAATAGGATTGTCTCCTGGGTAACAAGACCAAGAGCAGACTTAGCCTCAAGAATCCCCATGGAAAATAGGATGGGACGGGAGTGCAACAAGACAGGGAAAGGGAAACAGACCCTTCCTATCTCCTGGCAGGTAGGCTGACTCAAGCCCCCGACTACACTCACCTGAGACCAGGAAAATGATATGTGGGGCCACCAGAATAAGGTGTCTGCTAGGGCTGAAGAATGAAAAGGAAGAACCAGGGGAAATGGGCTCAAGTCCTGAGTCAGGTCCAGTGGGACTTCTGGAAGCTGGATCCAGATCTCAGAAGGAATGGAGGAGGTCATGTGCTGGAATTTTCCTGTGGGTTCTGATTCAGGTTCATATCTTCCCCAACAGCTCACACTCTGCCTTCAACATTCCAAAGACTAAAAGTATCCCCTACAACGGGCCCCTTGGACGCCTAGAGGAACATAGAGACCCCCTGAGTTGAAGTAGCTGAACCACCTGGCTATCCTAGTCATGTTGCATCCTGTAGAAGACACACTCAACACAATTTGCCTTATAACATATCTGGCAGTATGTCTTCAAGAAACAAGAGGAGTAAGGGCTTGCAGCCTGGGCAGATTCTGATTGATCTATTCTGACCCAAAGAAGGCAGTTCCTCCTCTGCCATGGATGCCACCATCTGAAAGGCAGTCTTCAGGATGTCCAAGAACTCTGTGGGTGAGTCATACTGAATATTGGCCACTAACTCTGAAATGTTGAGAAAGAGCTTTTGAAGTCGGTTCTGGCAGTCATTGGAGTAAGCTAGTAACATGGCAGGTATTCCTAGTTTCCCACCAGAAGTGCTGCAGAGAGGCCATCGGTAAGGACGGGCAACTCTCTTAGGTCCTGACAGCCTCTGTTTACTAGAAGGATAGAAGGTGGTGGGTCTTCAGGCTGGCACTAGTCCTAGCTATGGGCGAGTGAAGTTCTTCACAGTCATTCATGACCAACATCCTTTCCAGAATCACAATCTCTTCCCATGTCAGAGCACTGAGTAGATACTGTATCTCATGAAAGATGACTGTAAAGCACTAGATGGAGGGCAGAGTACTTGGAAACCTCAGGCTGTCAGGGTAGAATAGTATCCCACAGACAGTGCCCAGATGGGGGATGGCCAGCATCAGACTAAGGTCAAGGTTGTCTAACCATCTCTTGGGTCAGACAGCCAGCCATTCCTCAGTACCTTGGCCATTGCCTGTCAGTCAGAACAGAAGAGCCACAATTTGCTGTTCCTCCAGTTGTATTATGTCCTTCTCATAATATAAAACTGATAAAATTGTATTCAAATTTAAACAGGACTTCTTGAAATAAATCCATAGTTAAAAACAACTCCATTGTCATGAAGTCTGGCAGGTTGTGCCCCCATAGCAAAAGGATGAGTTTAATGTCCATCAATAATAACAGTAGAGTCATGGCCAAGGGGGAAAGGTAACTTAAAAACAGAATATCACCATCTGATGCTAGTATGTGCTGAGCCACAAGTAACATGCCAGCAAATAGTTTTGCAAATCTTCCTCAGGGAACTTGCTTAGGTAGGTGAGGCTGATTTGTCTCATTACTGGGATGTACTGATTTAGAATATTCAGAATTGTTTCCATCAACTGCACCTGCTTAATTTCAAACATAGTTCAGAGTTGTTTTATCTCATGTTGTTGGGAAGGTTCTTCTTGGCTTGTGATCTTTGCTAAAAGTGCATCTGAATCCACAAATCCTCGGATAATTTCATCCATTAGCACGGGCTCTATCATGTTGAACAAAGTCAGGGAATAAATTCTTCCCCGGGGCCTGTTATGCATGGTGGCTAGCAGCAAAGAGTAGGAAGCACACAGGACTCAGCTGCCCAAGCACCTTTACTTAGTCTTGCCTGAGCCTCCTGGCCCCGCCCTAGGGGCAGGGAGAGTTGAGCGACCCTCTACTGGCCACATATGGCTCAGGCCTCCAGCCCTCCTTTCCTCTTCCTTCCTTTGGAGCCCTGGGTGGCAAACACAGACTCAGCTGCTAACTGAAAGCTTGGAGATTCCAATCCACCCAGAAACACTTTAGAAGAAAGACCTGGCATTTAATCCTAAAAATGAGCCACTGAAAAACCCTCTGAAGCATAATCCTCTGCAGGTTTTGTTAGGTATATTTTATTTTGTTAGGTATATTTTATTTTGTTAGGTATATTTTCACTCCAACTTTAAAAAATGAAGATAATACTGTAGCTGTATGTATTGTTACTAAAATGATCAAATGAGACAATAGGAGTAACATACCTAGCACAGTGACTGGCACAAAATAAGGGCTCCAGTGCTGACGATGGGGGCTGTGAGGGGCAGGCTTGCAGGGTATACCCTGTGATTGGTTGATGATGCATGGAGGGGATTGGGGGATTGTCATCATGGCAATGAAACGATAGACAGGATGAATGTAAAACTAATGTTCTCACATATAAACTATCACATAATTCACAATAAAACATTAAAAAAATAAGTGCAAAATTTAAAAAATAAATAAATAAGGGCTCCATAATGTTAGTTCCTTTCCCTTTTTCATCCGGATCTGAAATGATAATTGTATTCTTAAGACTTAAATGAGATACAATAAGATAAGATTCAACTAGTCAAAAAAAGATATCCAACTTGCTGTGTTCATGTGATCATGGATTATCAGTTAATTGCTTTATAAATCATAAAAATTGAGTTTTATTAATATCAGACAATATATATCATGATTTTGTCCATAAAATAAACTGGATTGTAATGTTCCTTATAATCATCCAACTCTATTTGTTTCAGACAAAAAAGATGGGTCAAAAAGAGAAAATAAGAAAAAGTCAGTTCCAATAAAACCATTCTGAAATAGCATCCTACTCAGAGATAGTTAAGTCAAGTGAAATGTCTTAACAAGTATGATGGGATTTCAAATAAGTAAAATCTTTGAAATATATAACCACAGAGGTCATAATTATTAAGGCTCAGGGTGCCTTCTGCTTACCTACCATATTATCTTTTTCCTGATCCTGTTTCTTCAGGTAGTTTAATACAGACATTGTGTCTTTCTCCATTCTATATTGCTGTTGCTTTAAGTCCTCATTACTTTTTGCCAATCTCCGGGAAGTATCACGATACTCAATCCTGGAGAGTTCTGTGACTTCCAACCTGGCTTCCCAAAGAGAGGCATTGGCCTTGGCTCTCTGTACCACAGATTCATCTGGCTTTCCTGCCTTCCTACATGGGAAGAGGACATTCACAGGTTACAACTATTCCTTTATTATAGTAGTATTACATCTCTCTGCTTGCTTTGCTAAGCATTACCTGGCAAATATTGGTGAGTGAATGATATTAAAAAATACATATTTATTAATTAGTTTATGTTCTGCTGTGTTTTATCATATTCATAACAACAATAAAAATAAATCTATATATATTTAAAAGGATACATATTTACATAGTCACACAAGGGAGTTAAATAAAGGGCTACAAAAACAAGGCATAGTAAGTTAAATTTACCTTGTATTTCAAACGATTTTGCAGTTTAACGCATTAGCCCACAGCGCCACACCAGGGCACCACTAGATATATATGTTGTTATTAAGTACCATGGAGTTGGTTCCGACTCATAGTGACCCTGCACAATCTTTGTAGGAGCAGAAGGCCTCATCTTTCTGCTGCGGAATTGCTGGTAGTCTCAAACTGCTGACCTTGAGGTTAGCAGCCCGATTCGAAACCACTACGCTACCAGAGCTCCTTAGAGCATATATAGATAGTCAATATATGAAAGACTTCTGTATTCGAATTCTTTTTGTGTTCCTTTCTAAACTGTCACCCTCCATCCCCTCAAATGGTTCTCACTTCTAGTTGCATTCTCCTTTTGTTTCCTTCTAATTACGGCTAGCCCCATCCCCAAGCCTAACTAAGGAGCTCTGGTAGCGTAGTGGTTACTAATCGGGCTGCGAATCCCAGGGTCAGCAGTTTGAAACTACCAGCCGTTCCACGGGAGAAAGATGAACATCCCGGAAAACCTGTACAGGGTCGCTATAACAACAACAACATCCCCCTCTGGACCCCGCTGCAGCCTCTTACAGCTGCTGACTTCCCTTTCCAGCAGGACTTAGGTACTAGTGACAAACTGTCTTGCTACAATCATCCAATTGCTCCCTGAAGTTATCCAGCCTAAACTGCTGCGAGTAACTGATGTGAGAAATCATATGCCCCTAACAATAGGACCACTAACACTGTGCACAAAAAGCAGGGTGTCTCCAACTTTGGGTGGTGGGAAATGTGAGAAACAAGAGGCCTGTTATCTCAGTGTTCCTCAGTCTGCAGCATACACATGGTCAAAATAGAATGAACTTCAGGAATGAGATAAGCCCTTGATACTTTAAAATAAAATGTCGGACTAAATATGCAGTTATATATATATATATTTAATGAGGGAAAAAAGTTATAAGCAAATATGTATGGTGTACTATTCATTTTGTAATGAAAAAAAAAAAAAGAATGCCTCCCCCCAAATGATAATGGTTATCTCTGAATGATAGGGCTGTTGTTGCAAAGTGCCATCGAGTCGATTCCGACACATAGTAACCATATTATATAGGTTTCCAAGGAGGGCTTTGAGATGCTGACCTTACAGTCAGCAGTCCAATGCTTATGCTAAAGCGCCACATTGTTGCTGTTAAGTGCTATAGAGTAGGTTCCCTATATAGGGTTTTCCTATAATCGACCTTGTAGTTCGAACTGACCTTGCAGTTCAAACTGACCTTGCGGTCCAGGGCTTATCCTACAGTGACACACCAGGATGCCACACTGTTGTTATTAAGTGCCATCTGTTCCAACTCTTAGTGACCCTGTGTAGGGTGAGCTTGAACCGCCGACCTTCAGGGTCAAACCGACCTAGCCGTCCAGCTCATTAACCCGCAGCGCTGCACCAAGACTCCACATTTGTTTTAAGCGCTGTGACTCCTAGCGGCCATGTATAGCATTTCCCAGGTGCGAGGTGCTGCTGGTGAGTCTGAGTCATCGACCCTGCGATTTAAACCGACCTTGCGGTCCAGTGCTTATCCTACAGAGCCACACCAAGACTCCACGCTGCTGTTTTAAGTGCCGTAGAATGGGTTCCGACTCATAGCGACCCTGTGTAGGTTTCCAAGGAGCAACTGGTGGGTGTGATCCCACTGCACCACACCAGGAGTCCTTTTACTTCCATTCTTTAGGAACATATTGGCTTCCACCATCAGTGCACTGCACAGGCAGAAGCGGTGTCTAAATTATCTCAGGCCCTGAATCTATCACTCCAGTGTTCGGTTGACTACATAAATACGATTCGTATTTTGAGAATTTCTGAACAGTGGGCTCTTTCCTTCTCAAAGAACAAGTGGCGGGCCGCAAGCGGTGGCCTGAGAGTCAGTTAGCTAGTCCACGCCTCCGGCGCCGACATGCCAGCACCCCGGGCCCGAGGTCCTAGAGGACGGACTCAGAAAGAAGGGCCGCCATGGCGGCTTCTGCTTACTTCTTGTCTTTGCCTTTACCCTTGCCTTTCCTTTTCTTTCCCTTCGACGGCATTTTTGCTACTCCTGGGACCCGGCTACTAGTACTGCGCCGCCGGCTAGGCCGGGCTTCGTCTCTAAGGGAACCGGAACGCCAAGCGGATGACGTTCCTGCCCCAGCCGTTGCCAGCGCGGGAAGAGCGCACGCGCCCTTGACGTAGCTCCTACGCCGTCGCCCAGCCCAGACTCCGTAGGAGGGGGGCAGGGCGGCGATCTCGCCGAGGGCGGCGGCGCGGCCGCCAAGGCGGCGCGAGCGCGGTGAGTGAGAAGGTGGCGAAAGCGCCAGGGACTGCATCAGACGAGGGCAGAGCGGACGGCCTGACTGGCAGAGGGTAGTCGGGCGGAAAGGCGGGAGCGCACTAGTGCCTGGGGCGGCGCGGCGTCCTACAGGTTGGGTGTCTCGGGCGTCGAGACAGTCGCGGCACCCTCGCCTTAGAGACACTTGGTTCCCTGTGGTCCGTCCGACCCTCTGCGGTTGTCGAAGCTGCTGCCCCCCATCGGTGCTGCAGCGTTTTCCGTCTCCGGTCCGCGAGTCCTCCCGGCCCTCCGCGCTGCCGCGCTCGATCTCATCCTTGCGCTGCCTCAGCCGCGCGTAGCGGGTGCTGCCGGGACTCTTGGTTCCTTCTCCAATACCGGGCTTCCAACTCTTGCCAGTTCTACCAAGGATGGCGAATTCAGCCGACTTTCCAGACCAACATTTTTTTTCATGAGGCAGTTGACTTCTTTCCAAGAGTGGTGAAGCTGCCAGGCTCCCAAGGGCAGCGCGCACCGGCGTGCAGAGGTCCGGGGCTGCTGACCTCGGGGATGGGACAGACCCTGGGGACAGGAGGGGGCCTGGCAGGCATGGGGGCAGGTCTAGCCCGATCTGTCCTGTGTTGGCGACGCTGCCTGCCCTGGACCAGCGCCAGGTTTTCATTTGTTCAAGGCATGCGTGCTCAGCACCTTTTTCTGCAAGTTGTGTAAAGTTGAAAGTTCTTGCTCGCGCACATCTCGGAAAAGGAGTGTACTCCAAAAGTCTCGCTGTCATTGGTCAGTGGAGGCGCTCTGTGATCATGCTTTTTCTTTCAAGGTAATAACTCTGAGTCATTAAGGTACTTTGGCTGCCAAGTTGATAGAATCCTTAGGAGACCTGTACTTGAAGCCCCCGTGCTGCGTTACCCATTTCAAAATAAATAGGGAATGTCCTTCATACTTCACTATACATCATCTCTCCATTTCTCTAAGGGAAAATTGAATCCAACACTCCTTCCAGAGCTCTTTGACCTCTGATGCTCTGCCGCCTTCCTTTTTTCTCCCTTGTATGGTTTCCGCTTCTGAAGTCTATGGTTAGATGGATCATGCTGATTTGTTAATGAACCCTCCAAATTGTCTGTTAGACATCCTGTCTACTACCATGCCTGTGACTTCTGACCCGATTTCTGTTTGTATGTTTCTATTTGTCATACTCCTTTGGGTCCATGGATGCTGAAGGGATTACCTGTGATGTGGAATCCATAAAGTTACAACTAATATTTCCTAAACTTCTGAAAATGCTCCTTATTTAACTTGGAGCAAAGCATACAGTAGGGCATATTATACTGCCAGCTATATATTTGGAATTAATTCTAAAATGTGGTTACTTGATAATATGAAAAGCCAGTCCAAGACTCAAAATTTAGCATACAACTTATTTATAAATATTCTTTAAATTGTAACATTTTATGATACATGGATAGTACTTTAGTTGCATGTAGTTGTTTTACCACACAACATGCCTTTATTGACAAAGTTTGATTTTGTAGATAAAACTGATGAGGCATGAATATGACTAAGAGAAATGCCCATCATTCTACCTAGTGAAGGGGGTTCTAGAATCTGTGGTAATTGGAATCTCCACAGTTTCTACCAAAGAACTCGATGCTATTATTATTCAGTCATCTATTGGTGAGAAACAACTAATGGTGAAAGAGTTATAATTGTTGTTAAGTGCTGTCAAGTCACTTCCAACCCATAGCGACCCTACATGTGATTTCCGAGGAGCGACTGGTGAACTTGAACTGTGACCCTTGAAGTTCAAACCGACTTTGCAGTCCAGCACATTAACCACAGCGCTACAGGAGTTCGGGTGGAAGAGTTGTTGTAGTAGTTGTTAAGTACCGTGAATTCTCTAAGAAAAATACATACCCAATTTTCAGGCCCACTTGTCTGCATGTTCATAAGCATGGATCCATCAAGTGTTCATTCATTTGATAACTGCTGTGTTTGGTTGGTATGACCTGTATACCTGGATCTCCTCCGATAACTTGAAGGTTTCATTTGGTGACAAGACAGGAAGCCTGCCCTCAAGTTGCTTGCTGTCAAGTGAATCAGGCTCTGACCTGGACATTGATCTCCAGGAATATACAAACTCATTGATAGAATAATTACAAACACGCAACAGTAAACAGTACCAAACAATGATTGATAAGGAAGCGATGGCATAGACCCTAAGTGCTACCGGAAGTGCTATGAGAGACTGACATTAGCAAAGTTTGCAGAAAGAGATGGGCTGAAAGGGAGAGGGAAGACTTTCTTGAAAGATAGAATAACGTGAGCAAATTCTGAGTGTACAAGTAGTTCAACTAGAGCAAAGTTTGGTCCATAGACTAGCAGCACCAGCATCATTTGGAAATTTATTAGAAATAGGAATTCTGACTCTACAGAGACCTACTGAATCAAAAATAATTGTGGTGTGCCCCAGCAATCTATGTTTTAATAAGCTCTCCAGGTAGTTGTCATGCATGCTGAAATTGTGATAACCACTGGACTAGAGTAGAGGGTGCTTGGGCAAAAAAACTGGAATATTGTGAACTCACATAGAGAATACAAATATTAGGCAAGGAGTTTGCCTTTTATCCTGCAAACCGGAATCACCAATTTGTGGCTTGGGAGCTGAATTCGGCCCATAGCTGTATATTATGTTTGACATGCATAGTGGGTGTTTTGGGTATTTTTTTGTTTTTTAAATGGAATTTAGAAACCAGAAGATTAAAAAAAAAAAAACTTTATTGTGCATTGAGTGATAATTTATGTGGGAGAACAGTAGTTTTGTACTCGTCCTATTGTATTTTGTTTCATTGCAATGATTACAATCCCCTCCATGCATCATTTAACAGTATTTGCTTCTGTTCCTCTGAGTTTGTGTTTTGTTTTTTTGTTTTTATGTACATAAAAACACTCAGGAATATACAATTATTTAAACAACCAAAGGGCACATTCTGTAAGCCAGCCTCCTGGCCACCAGCACACAGCTTTTCTCTTTTGAGGGTCTAGAGTCCTCAGCTGCTCTATCTCGCCATGCTGTTACCTCTGCCTCCATCTCTGGTGTCGCTGGTTCTCTGGATAGGGTCCCATATTCTGCTCATGCTCTTCTCCCTTGATGGTCCTAGCGTCCTCTGTTCCTGAAATGTAAGATGAAGTACTGCCCCATTTATGTCACAAAACTTCTTTTACAGTTGTGACAATCAGTTAGTCATGATAACAATTACTCACTGTTGAATCAAAAGAATCATATCCCCATCTAGACAATATGAAAATTATTCAGTGGGGATTCTATCTTCCCTCAAACACCCTGAAACTAAACTCTAAAATTCTATTATCTTTTTTTTTAATTATTATTTAAGGTTTTTATTG